GTTTCAGGATTGCAACTTTGAGCTTTTCTCCCGACGGCACGAATGGTTCGGGCATGAGTTGGAGTTCCATCGAAGACAGTGGCTATGCCGTCTCTGCAACGCCAAGTACAACAACAAGTCCCTCTTCGAGGCCCATCTTCGGCATACACACATCGGAGAGGCTTGTACATCTCAGCATCTCAGAGAGGCAGTGGCTAAACACGCGTCTCGGCCACTCGAACAGCTTTCCGAAACCTCATGCGCATTTTGCGATGATTGGAAAGCACCAGAAGGTGACCTGAACCTAGTGTTGGACCTCTGCCGCCATGTCGGAAGACATCAGCAAGAGCTGGCCCTCGATGCGTTGCCCCGGTACATTGAAAATCTGGTGATTCTCGGAGAAACACAAGACAAACCCGCCGACGATCGAGAAACCCAACTGGCACCTCAAGACCAACGGTATTCAATCGATATCAAAGCAGACAGCTTATTCAGCCAGAGGCTATGGGTGCAGCCAGGGAGTGATCACAGCACAAGAAAAACGATGACTGCCTCGATGAGGAACAGTTTGCCGTTCAACATCATCACAACTCAGACCATGGACTTATTCAACCTGGGCCCTCCGAAAAAGGCGCGAGTTCCGCGCACTGCAGATCTGACCTCGCTTGGTTCTGTCACGTTCAGCGACTTTGTTACGACATCAGTTTCCACATCCAGACGAAAATTTCAGCAGGGAAAGCGGCACAGAGCGGACTTCCACATTCTCCCCGACGAGGCGCTCTCAAGACTCCAGGAAAACCCGGGAAAGGCCGCGAAAGCTGTGTTGGGTCATCAGCTTATGTCAGAACTGATCAACAATGATGATGAGTTTGAGGAGGATGTGGCCGAGCACATCGATTCAGCCAAATTGAGCTGGGTAGTGACTAGTTTCCTCGCTTATCACCTACGACGAGAGTCTCTTCACACGTACCTCGAAGAACTGTTTCCAGGGGACTGAGATCACTGTCAGTATACAGACCCTTATCCCCATTCTTTCATCTCTGAAAATTGCTGCTCTGTTTACTAATCGGACCATAGGTAGACAGGGTGGACGGCGGCAGTTATGAACTACTAATACCAAGAGATCTTACCAAGGTATGCTTGCCCCATATCTCGTGCCCCGAATGGATTGGGTATGAGAATTCATGTCATTGACTAATGCATCACATCGAAGGATGAGAGGGAACACATATTAGACAACATTCTATGGTAGAGCGATACCTAGGTACATTGAGAGTAGGTTGTGTGCCCAATGACACCGCTTTTGAGTTACCTACCTAATATAATGTAGCCCAGGCAGATATACAAATCATAGCAATGGCTGATAATAATTCGTTCACGGCATGGCCACACACTGATTCCGATGAAAAATGCTCTCTATCTCAACTTGCGCGCCAGCGGCGCCACTTTTACTGCCCGCCTGGGCAGATGCCCGTGTATATATTGAAAACACCACGCCACTTAAGCTGTCACCTTCACCACGCATATTCCCTCTGATTAAGACGGTGTCCAACTGACCTAACAAGATAATTCCCACCGTGAGTTATGTTTTCGCGTCCCATAGTCAGCGCCACCGTCCGTTCAATCCGGATTAGCAATCCACCCATCCCATCCGTTCAATCGCATCCATTTTCAGGGGGCTTCACTCCAGCTCTATCCGCGGTCAGGTCGTCTCTACGACTTATAACATCATGAGCGGGTACCTGGGCGCCATCACGGGACTTGGACCGACTTCTACCGTAGGTAGAGGTTACTCTCTGTACAAGTTGTCAGCACGATCCTGCTTGAATATGATGCATTCGATTTGATCCTACGCTAGCTTTCAGTACTTCTATATGCACATCCTCATTAAGCGGCGTGAGGAGTGGGACGCCACAACTGCCAACAGGCAGTGGCCTATCTGCTGGAGGCCAAGGGCGAGAGTAGCATTAGGAAAGACTTCTGTTTCGCCAACTGAAGTGAGGGTTCACGATCACATATCAGTCATAAGAATTATCGCGTTGGTTCGTCCGGCACGTCATGTCGACCCATGTATGGCGCATGTTTTACCTGGGGGAGTTGGTGGCCGCAGGGGTATGCCATGATGGCGGCCGTGCTTCATGGAGCTTTGCTGTTCTGGGCTTTTTCCCGCAAACCACTGCTCTTAAGGTGGCGGATCAAGCTTAAAGCCGCGGTGGACCTTTAACTGCATGCTTTCTTTATGGTTGATGAGTTGGCTTGTTTCGAGAAGATGAGTCTCTTGGGTAGCGATCAATGTGAAGCAAAATGACACCCAGCGACCCCGCTGTGCAGCTCTGACGAGGCGGATATGGGGCTACACCACCGCGTCACTCTCCATGGATGTTCCCACGACATCTGTAGCGCTTGAGTTCGCCAAAGCATTTGGACAACGAAGGGGCAAAAAGTTAAGGATGGATCATATGGGAATTGAACCCATGACCTTTCACAGTCATATACTCTCAAAGAGGAGCAATGCGAAGCGAATATCATACCCCTAGACCAATGACCCGATTTGATGCATGGTTCATGAGTGGGGAGCATCCATGGTGGACCAGCCCGGCTGCTGGGACGGGCTTCAAGAAGAGCCCGAGGAACAAATACAGTCCGGTGCCTCTTCAGAGGAGAGATGAACACCCAGAGATCGACCGGCCGTCATGCCACGATGCCTCGTTTCCCCCCGTGTTGGCCGATGAGCCGACAGCAACCATGGATCAGGCTTGGCGCAGGAGGGGGTAAATTGAGCGACCCCAGCTGGTGGGCACGCTTCACTGCAATTTTAGCGCTCTCAGGGTCTCCCCAAGAACCACCCGCCAGAGTCACCACTCGGGCCAGCCCCCGATGAACGAGCAGAAGGCTCGGCGTCCCAGATCAGACCAGGTCTTCCTGCTTTCTGAATGGTGGCTTGTCCAGGGGCCGTTTCCGATGCACTGCATTCCGCCGCTAGCTTCACTGCTTTCTGCGCCACCCGCCCTCAATCTGGAACAGCCCACCGCTTTGCTACCCCTTTGACGTGCCCCGAAGGCCCCGGCGCTTAGATTAAGGATTCTCATATGGGGTGTGATGGCGCGGGAGTTGGCTGAGAGGTCAGGGGGCGGGTCAGCGACGGTCAGCGGCTCCAGACCGTTCGTGATCATCGCCCAGCGCCATGGTCGAGTTTAAGCCCTATATAATCCTCCGACACCTCCTCTCTTACCACGCCTTTTGCTCTCCAGTCATCACTCATTCGACTTCCTTCTTTTCGACGCTCTTTTTTTGTTCAGCCACGTACACACATTCGTTTCTCAACACCCACCTATCTACCAACAACCCCTCTTTTACAAACTTCACCCACTTGTCCGGTCACAAGAACAAAATGAAGCTCACCAGCTCCGTCGTCCTCGCCGCCCTGGCTACCTCTGTCCACGGCCACTACTTCTTCGACAAGCTCATCATCGACGGCAAGGAGACCGCCAGTGGCGAGTATGTCCGCACCAGCTCCCGCCAGACCAAGTACAACCCCATCAAGTGGGAGAACGTCCGCGACGACTCGACCCCCGACCTCGCCGACATCCGTTGCAACCAGGGCGCCTTTGACAGCGCCGGTCGCACCAAGACGGCCGAGATTGCCGCCGGAACCAAGGTCGGCTTCAAGCTCGCCGTCGGCGCCACCATGCAGCACCCCGGCCCTGGCCTCGCCTACCTCTCTAAGGCTCCCACCACTGCCCAGGCTTACGCTGGCGACGGCGACTGGTTCAAGATCTACGAGACGGGCGTCTGCGATACCTCCAAGGACTTCACCAAGGAGGCTTGGTGCACGTGGGACAAGAACGTCATTGAGTTTGACATTCCCAAGAACACGCCCGATGGCGAGTACCTCCTGAGGGTTGAGCACATTGGTATGTCCACCACCACCGCAGTCTTTTTAACCTTCTCCATGCTGACACTCCTTTTTAGGTGTTCACGGTGCCCACGTCGGACAGGCCGAGTTCTACCCTGCGTATGCCCAGCACCACACTTTCCCCCTCGAATGCCTACTAACATGGACACCCAGCTGCGCCCAGATCAAGGTTACCGGCGGCGCCGCCAGCGGCACCCCCGGTCCTACCTTCAAGCTCCCCGGCGGCTACAAGAAGACCGATCCCTCGTTCAACTTCAGCCTCTACGGCGGCTACAAGCCCTACCCCATGCCCGGCCCCGCTGTCTGGAACGGCGCCGCCAGCACCGACTCGGGCTCCGGCTCCGACTCTGGTTCTGAGGCTCCCGCCGAGCCCTCGGCCGTCGTCGCCTCCACCCTCGTGACCAGCCCCGTCGCCGTCGCCACCTCGTCCGCTGTTGTTGCTGACCCTCCCGCGGCCGCTACCTCAGCTGCCAGCGAGCCCGTCACCCCCCCTGCCTCCGTTGGCAGCTGCTCCGCTAAGTCCAGTAAGTGCAGAGAATGCGTTGTCCTGTCTTTGGAAGATAAACTAACACCCAGTCTAGGGAAGCGCCGTGCTCGCAAGCACTAAGTGCTGCCAGTCTGTCAGCACCTGCATCGCCTCCAATCAATCGTACCTCTCTCAGTGCGAGTAAGTCTGGCGGCGGGTGGTCTTTTTCTGGTGGTTGGGTCTTCAGGATGGGATCCCAACTTCTCTTCTCGCAACCTTTGTTGTAGATATTTTACTATCGTGTACAAATGCTCCAAGAGAACGTGGTTTGAAACCTATTACCGAGTGCTGTTGCAAGTGTCAATGATGCTGAAGGGGTGTGGTGCCAGTGGGGTCTGGTCCAAATGAGCGACCACTCGACATCTCCAAATGTTGCGGCCATCTAATGGCAATCCAGGCTAAGGTCTTTCACCTGGCGACAGCAACTACTATAGGACATGGACGGAGTCGCTCGATACACATCGATACATGTGCTGCCGCCCTGGTCACTGGGGTATCTTAGCTGCCACATTATGAGTCACCGCCAATTTTGGAATATCGGCACCGGTGGAACCAGCGTCGTCCAGCAAAGCAGAATTCGCTCGGCTAGCTCAATGGCAGAGCGTGAGGCTTTTATAGCTACCTCAAGGCTGTGGGTTCGACCCCCACGTCGAGCGAAAGTCGAGTCATCGAACTCACGATATTTTTATGTCCTGGCCGCCTTTGAGCGCCCGGCCTGGCGGTATACATACTGCAACGTCCCGGAAGTGCGTGAAGAGACGTCACTGGTCTTTCGGAGCGGGGACAGCGTGGATTAGGTCATCAATCAACTCTTCATGATTCACGCCTCTCATCACGGCTCTTCAAAGTGCAGGACAAGGATATATTATTTTGGGCGGACATCGTCCGCAAACCACGAATTAAAACAGCTACTCTCTCATCCATTAACGAACCACCATTGTCCCGGCTGTTGAGTGCATATGCCGTGCTGTGCGGGCTCCGGCCCGCGGAAACGAGTGAAGGGCATGGTGCCCTCAAGCCTTGGAGACGGGGTCGACGTGGAGGACGGTGCCGCTGGCATCGAGATCGTACTGCTTCTTCTGGCGCGAAGCCCTGACGGGGTTCTTGGAGGCGAAGATGTGGTCGAGCTCCTCGAGGGTGCGGTTCTTGGTCTCGGGGACGAGGAAGTAGAGGATGGCGGTCTGGACGAAGCACCAAACACAGAAGACGATGTACGTCATCCACCGGATCCTCTCGAGGGCGACGGGGACACCGAACTGGTTGGCCATGAGGGCTGCGCAAGTCAGTACGATGAAATGGACAAGAGTGTGAGGCTAAGGGGTACTTACCGCAGCTCATGAAGAGCGAGGAGAAGGCCATGCCCTTGGCGCGCATCTCGTAGCTGAGAACCTCGACGGGCAGGAGAGCCTGGAGAGGAGTCCAACCGACGGAGTAGGCAATCTGGAAGAGGTAGACCCAGGCGAGCATGGCCTGAGAGACAGAGGGGGCGACGTTGGCGGCAGCCTCCTTGTCCTTGCCGTCCTTGACGTTGGCGATGGAGGCGGGGACGATGATGCCGACCCAGCAGAGACCGCACACAATGTTGACGGTGAGCAGCATGGGGCGACGGCCGACCTTGTCGACGATGGAGGCACCGAGACCGGCGAAGACGATCTGGACAGCGTTCATGCCGAGCTGGACGTTCATCTGAGGCTTCTCACCCTTGATACCAGCGGTGTCAAGGAAGGCAGACAGGTAGTATGAGACGATACCTGGGGAGAGGGTCAGTTGGTTTCTCGTGATGGATTTGATTGCACAAAGACATACCGTTTCCAGCCCACTGGCCGAAGAGAGCGACGAGGCAGTTGCACATGAGACGGTAGACGGAGGCGCGGTTCCTGAACAGCGCCGAGTAGTCCCACCAGCGCTTATCGCTACCGTCCATCTCGAGGAACTCCTCGTACTCGCGGAGCTGAAGCTTGACCCACTCGCTCTCAGGGTTTCCGTTTCCGTGAAGCTGGATGAGGGTCGCGGTAGCGGCCTCCTTCTTGTTGCGGGTGTAGTTCCAGCGAGGGGACTCGGGCAGGAAGAAGGCGCCGAGAACGACGATACCGGGGAACATGGCCTGCAGACCGACGGGGATCATCCAGGAGGTGTTGCCACCAATGTCAACACCGCCGCGGGCAGCTCCAGAGGCAACGAAGGCACCAACGGGCCACATGACGTTGTAGAGACCGGTGACGATACCACGACGGGCGGGGTGGCAGATCTCGACGACGTAGATGGGGCCAGCAGCACCGATGATACCGACACCGAAGCCGAGCAGGAAACGGCCACCCATGAACTGGCCCAGGCTGTGGGACTGAGCGCAGGTGATCTGGATGACGACTCCGATGAAGATGATCAGGCCGCCGATGAACATACCAGCGCGGCGTCCCCAGGTGTCGATAGCGGGTCCGATGAAGGGAAGGGCAACAACCTGGCCGATCTGGTACATGGCAGTGACGACACCTGGGAGGAGCAAATGTCAGCCATGTCGAACGAAGCGATGATGGAGGCGGAAGAAGGGTGTTTTCACTCACCGACGTTGGTTCCCTTGTTGTCAATGCCGAAGAACTCCTTGAAGGCCGTGTTGGAGAGCAGGGTGCTGAAGAGCGAGCCGTCGAAGCCGTTGGTGGTGGAGCAGCAGAAGGCAACGGCGCAGGCAATGATGAGGGCGATGGGGCCAATGGCGGGAGCGGGCTCCTTGAGCTGGGCGGCCTGGTAGGCCTCATCACCCATCACCGTCTTGGTGGCCACGACGGCCTTGAGGTCCTCATGGACCTCGTGCTTTTCGTCAGACACGCGGGTCGCCATTGCGGGCGGATGTCTGGGGGGGTTGATGCCGGGGAGGGGCTGTTGTTGTCGAAGGCGTCTCTTTGCGGCGGAGACGGAGGTGCTTGAGGCGTGGTCTGGGGAGGAAAAAAGTGATGGGATGGAGGGTGGGAGGGCCCTGGGCTTATATGTCTGTCGAAGGGATCGATCGACCGGTGGTGGTGGTCGCGTGTTTGTGCGTGGTAAACCTTGGGGTGTAATTTTTTTTGCTTTCTCTGTGCTCACGGCTTCATGTTCCTACGCTGCCGCCGAACCCCTGCACGCGTCGACGAATGTGAGAAAGGCATGATCTCGAATGGGTATCAGGGGCAGCGGCGCGCGGAGACCCCAAAGATGGCCCAAAGGGGTCAGGGGAGCTTTCGGATCCCGCTGTCGTGGGCCGGGGAGCCGACGAGGAGAGGAGGGAGAATGATTGGCCCAGGGCTGAGGAGCTGGAAGTGCGATCTGGGGTTAAGCGGCCCGGAGACGAGGATGGGGAGACGGCCTGAGGATGGATCGAGGGGAGGGAGGCGAGGAGGTAAGGAGGATCCACGGAGGTGGCCGCGGAGGAGGGAGCATGGGGAACGGGGGATGGAGGATGGACCAGGGCTGAGAGACATTGAACACAACGTGGTCGACAAGTGGCAAGCACACAAAACGGTGGCTTGAGCCCGCTGAATCTCAGGCCTTGTCTTTGGGCTGTAGTGGCTCCATGTTCGCCCAGACATCCCACGGCTACCCCGGCACCAGTCGAGGCTCCAACTGGAGGGCTGCAGAAGGGCCGACTGCTGCATCGAGAGCTTGGGCCGGGGCTCGCCCAGGCCTATTGGCTGCTAGATCTACCACGCCGAGTCCTTGTCCCGCCTGGGCGAACTGAGGCTCGGGGTTCCTGGAAGTCCGCTGGCGTGGTACACATTTCAGAGGAGCCTCTCCGCCGGACTAGGCACCTCACCACCAACGTCTGGTCTATTCGTACTACAGAAGCAGAGTCATGAAGACAAAAGCTGCGCCGCATCTTGCAACTCAACTTCACAAGATGCATCTCCGCCACAGGGTCCTCCTCCTTCATGCTGGTCTAAATGAGGCGCCGCCAAGCGAAAGGACCGCCGCCAACCCCGGCAATGTAGCCGTCCTAAACGACGGTGCGATGGGCACACACACCGCAATGCCGGTAAACGTAAACGAGTGTCCGATTAAACGAGAGCCACGGACGCACGCCTGACCAACGAGAGGCGGCGAAGATGTCCGGGGTGGCGCCTGTGCCATGGCCGCCACAAGCCCAAGGACGCAACCGGCGGCACTGAGACTCGAGAATGGAACGTCTTGTCGTTCTGCCCAGCGCTGGGCAAGTTTGCTTATCATCACGTCGAATTTGTCAGAGTGGTCAAGTCGTCGTGGAAGGGCAAAATCAAAATCGCCGACGCCTTGCCTTGCCATGCCCCTCGGCCCCTATTTGCCTCCCTAAAGACCACCATTAGATCCTCACCATCACTTGACAGCACCCACCGTCGCCGGAACAGCTGTAGCGGAATCCCGCAAGCCTGGGTTTCCTCTCCCATCGGCGGGGGGCCACGCCACCGCTGCATAGGGCGACGCACGCGGCCCGGGACAAAATCCCCATGTGCTCCATGCCATGTCCCCCTCCATATGCACGTGAGCCTCTTTGAATTTCCCATCTCTGCCTCCTTCTCGGGCGCTGCAGGGTCCGGTCCCGTCGCGATGGGCTGCAAGTGCCCCCAGTCAGAACACCACGACTCACACTGTATTCCCCCGGAAATCACTGGATCACAACCCCTGTTCCCCCCTACAAATTCCCCATGACGGGCATCAACCCCATTCGAGGCCTTTCTCTAGCCCCAGGAACACGGCCCGCCAAGCAGACAGAGTAAGCATTCGTTTCGTTCGTCCACTCGCTCCCAGCACCACACCGAGTCCCATGTCAGCCCCAGGTATCGAATCCTCCCCATTCTCTGTCTCTCCCCCGCGTCCAAAGGGAGGAAGCCCGGCCACGCGCGCGTTCCATGGCCGGAAGAAGCAAGGCTCCCCCCATCTCTAAAAGAAAATACGTCCCCAGCACATGGCTGCCATCTGACCACTCACGGCACGTCCTGTCACGTCTCCCTCGTGGAAAGACGGCCCGGCGAGCAACACACAGGTCTCGAATCAAGGGTCACCATCGCTTCGAATGAGTTTCGGATCGATGAGGGGGCAAGTCAGCTGGCAGGTGTCGACGTGCCCATTGGGCATGCATCTCGAGATCGGCCGGTCGAAAGATGGATGGGTCCATCGTCGCATTCACGATCCGCATCGAAAGGCCGCTCCCGCTGAAGCCTGACCTGGCCTGGCCTGATCTGGCCCAACATGGCCTAAGCTGAGGCTCTCATGTGTTGACGGACCGGACGGCGGCGGCGAGTCTCGGTGAAAAAAGCCTTGCAAACTGTCTCGGGCCATCTTTGCCGCGGCCCTGTCACTGTCGTCCACCTGTTCCCCAGCCTTCACCAGGAACGGCGCTTCCCCGTGGGTAGCCATTGTCTCTCATCCGCCCGCCGCCTGACTCGTTCGTTCACGTTGCGCCGGCCCGCCCATTCCTCGCCGTTGCTGGCTGGATTCTTTCCCAAAGTGCCAAGCGCCCAAAGTTCCCCGTCGCCACCACAGAATCTGGAACTCGTAGGCGAAGTGGTCAAGTCTGGCATCTCCACGGCTCACACCTCCGAGCCGACTTTGTTCTACATTGGTCTCACCGTTCCAGGTATGAGGCGATCCCCAACCCGGCCCGTCGTCCTGATCCTACCTCGGTACTCCTGTCACCCTTGACATCTGCGAT